CACTCTTAGACGTTTTATAAGACTATTAGCATTTGATTATAAATTGATACTGATTAAGAAAAACCTAATTTTATAGGACTGGAATTTCTGTTTTGAGGAAATTTGGTTTATTAATAATGCTATCATTAATCTGTTAAGTTAAATTTATCGTTTTTTTTCGTACTATTTGAGCTTTAGAATTTTTCTCTAACAATACGATATATGGTAGCTATGATTACAAAGGTTGATAAACCTTTTGTTCAAGTCGACCTCATCAACAACCATAGTCAATCGTGAAACTTCTATTTGTAACAATATACAGCAAAGTTTGCTTCTTCTTTCGCTTTTCTTTCAATACAATCTCTTTTCCTTCGTTTTGATCAATTCTCAAATAAAATACAAGCACATAATTTCAATTATATACTCTTCAACTTTGAAAATAATTTGAAACTGCTCAAATTACTAAAAACTATTCTCATGTTGAGTAAATAGCCTAAATTTTTTTCCCAACTTCGATAACCATCAGTATAATCCATGAACTTTTCTTAGGTTTGGTTTCAAAACGCTCGGGCTAAATACCGACGATCAATGCATGGTAGCGATGGTGCCACAATTTCGCCATTGACGGTAGTCTCCACTAATATACATGATTGTCAGGTAATTTTCGCTTACCTTACTTGTCACTTAAAGGTGTTTGCAGTTCAATTTTCCAAAATTATTACGCTTTGAAAGTTCAAGATATAATGTAAAATCTCCAAAAAAAAAATGAAGTTCAAAATCTACTTTTTGAAATAACATTTTGATAGTGTTGCAAAAACTGAGATTTCGAAAAGAATTTTAGGATACACTGTAGGTATGTTGTAGCATACTGTATCATCTGTCTTTTTAGAATGAGTCGCCAAGCCGAGATTCAAGTGAACCATGATCAGCAATATCCCATGTCTCTGTATCTACTCAAATTCAATGGAATGGTATCCTAATCTAGTCTCACATGCTCAATACCATATCATTATAGGTGTTAAATCTGTGCATAATGTCCTTTAACAATCAATTCTGGTCAGTGCTAGTTGTACATTTTTAGACTTTAGCTCTTATTCAAATAAAAGATTTAAACCTGATTTTTACTTTCAATTTTTTTCTGATACTGCATAAGTAGAAGATATTTATATTCGTTTATAGCTCAGATCATATCGACTATTGACAGTATGTGAGATAAATAATTTTAAATCCAATTACACAATGAAACCGTAGGTAAAGAAAAAAATTCCCTGTATAGCCAACAGATCAGCTTTCTTTTACTAGAAGAGGAATGTTGATTGTTACTGGCCGAAGGTCGGATCGCTGCAATAATGACATTAAAAGATCTTTATTTATGGAAAACAGTAACTCATTACCTTAAAAGCATCTTTAGCATTTCCAGTACCGGTGTAGTCAATCATTAGAATTCCAAGTCGGTCCTTTTTTGGCATACCTTCAAGTCTGCCAATCTGAACAAGATTATTTTAAAAGGAAGCTGGAATAGTCAAAACTAGGAAAGGCTAAAACTGACATTTAGCACTACGACCTCTTCTGGTTCAACAATTGCATAAACTGGTGTGACACGGTAGAGGGTGTTGTCCGAGCAGGTGATCTTTATAGCGAGCC